TCGAGTACGAGGTTGAGTCCAAAATTGAGTCTAAGATAAAGTTTGAGAATAGATTCAATTACTAATATAAATCATGAGATGAAATCCAAAAGTGATTATCTCCTAGAGGGGGGGCAGGGGGTTCCAAAAGTATAGTAGGGATAGTGAGGTTTAGTTTTGAAAGAACTCTTTAATGATACTTTTAAATTGAGTTAAGGTTGGGACTAAGGCTTAATGGCTTTGGGTGGTGAACTTGGCGGATGTTAAAGAAACCTCCCAAGGAAGTGCTTAAGAGTAATTCCCATTCCCAAAAGGGAAATTAATTGTAATGCTTCTAATGTAAGTGACTAAATTTTCCATTCTACTTTAATCACTTAACCACATTTTTATCTATTTAGAAATGTCTTTCTCACAACCTCAATAAATTTTATTCTCGACTTAGTCCCATGAATGACATCTATGCCATTTAGCCTTTGCACTTGGTCTAAATGCTCCACATGTCCAATCCCACAATAAGCACCTAAGGATACCATTGGCATATCAACTCGTTACATTAAGGTTATGTTCATTCACATTTGTTTTGTAGGTAGTCCAAAACCACTTATACCACAGTCTCATCTCCCAAATATTGGGCCATCCATTCATGAATGATCATCCCATGACCACACCTTAGTATCCTTAAGATGCTTAGAGACATAAGAGACACCTTTCCCTAATATTCCTTCTTCAATCCTTATTAACTCCCTTTTGTCCACGGTTGTGCTTGCCAACACTACTATTGGATCAAGGCCCAAAGGCTTAACCACTAAGTCCCATTAACTGCTGGGACTTCTTTGCCACAAAACTATATCGTTAGTCACTACACAAAAAGATTACTCCTCTTCTTTTCCACAGTTTAAGACTTTTGGATGACATTTCAAAATATTGTAGACTAACATGAGTCTCATGGGTACTTTCCCCATCTTCCACCTATGGGTGCCCTAACCATGTAGCTAGAGTGAGGCTCTACTAAGCCACACCAAGTATCCAAGTAGATAGTGCGACCCACACTTAGATTGGGAACATCAACCATTGAATTTCTTGGGAAAACTAAAGCCAACTCTTGAACATTTCACCAAGTTACCCCACTTGTCCGTTCGTGTTCATTTTAGCCTTAAACTCCTCAATAATTATATCATCACCTACCATAGGTATAACTTTCATTGGTTACACTAGTTTTCCTTAGCCAAACTAGTTCCACTAGAGTCCTCCCTCTACTATCCTTTTGGAGCTCACCAACCCCCTAGGGTTTGGGAGATGATCACTTTGGGCTTTCACTTTTGGACTCAGACTCGAACTTAAACTTGGACTCGGACTCGGACTCGGACTCGGTCTTAGTTTTGGTCTTGGTCTTAGTCGCGGTCATAGTCTTGGTCCCAGTCTAGGTCCTAGTCTCAGTCTCAGTCCAGGTCTCAGTTCCGGTCTCAGTTTTAGTCTCAATCTCAGCCTCAATCTCGGTCCTGGCCTCGGTCCTAATCCCTATCTCGGACTCCATTTTGGACTCCATCTTAGACTCTATATTGGACTCTATCGCAGACTCCTTCTTAGACACCATCTTGAATTCTATCTCGAACTCCTTTTTGAACTCGATCCCGACACTTTCATGTGTCACAACACTTGCTATGTGTCAGTGCTTCTTGTGTCCTTTTCTAAAGACTCATTCAACAATTGCTTCGTGCTCTTTCCTACGAGCACTTTATTTGGAGTTTTGCTTCTGCTCTTGCCTTTTTGAGTTAGAGCTTTTGGTCCTAACGTGTTATGCTTGTTAAACTTTTGTTTCAACTACTGCCATATAACACACTTTCAGCTTCATTTTGGGGCTTAGGGATTTGTATCTCACACTTAGCTCATGTGGAGTGGTGCCCCACTTTAATACTATATGGCTTATTGGTTCTCACTCTTTCCTAGGGGCTTGCATACTTAGCTGTTAGGCTACAATATTTATCTCAAACTAAGAGATGTATTTAAGGCTTGGGATTTAGAGGGTCTTATGATCAAATTTTCTTATACCAAAGGATGTTAAAAACCTAGACACTTGGTATATTTAGTTGCTTATGCCTACAGAAAGTGTAGTTAAACTTTAAATCTAATGTAACTCAGGGAGGGGGATTAGGAAGAATTTAGGAATCTATAGATGGATGGTTAGCACCTCATTACTTATATAGTGAGTAGTTAAATCCAAGTAGGTCCAAATATGAGATAGTACAATAAGTGTGAACCTTAGCAAAGAAGCTTAATTGAGGCCAAGGCAAAAGTGATTAGATAGATGAGGTAAGTTGGCAAATTAGAAATAAAAAATTTGTGGTTGTTTAATTAAAAAAAAACATTGCAATGGCCCTTGTAGATATTAGTGCAATGTGATTTCTACCTAGTGCTCTAAATGTTAAAGTGAAGAAATTAAGCAAACATAGATAAATGGCAAGAGTAATTATGACTCTCTTAGGTAGCCAAATGCGTCATCATCTAATTAGTGACATGCATGAATGGATTAATGAGATTCCCATTGTCCCTCTATTATCTAGCTAAACCATGGCTAAGGGAACGAGCTTAGAAGAATTAGTAAAGAAAAATACCTTATTAAGATTAATTCTAGTTTGACTTTGTGAAATGATTTAAAAGATGATTTATAAAGGTTCAAATATAAAGGGAAAAGGCCCATAAATAAAAGTGCAGTTTTTTTTTAATTGATTAAAAAATTTAGGATACTTAGGGTTAAGTGTCTTTGAAGGCTAGATGACCTCTAAAAATTTAAATCAAGGAATTTATATTTGGTATTATAGAGGTCTAACAAATCCACCACACTCACCTAGTCCAATACTACTCAGACTTAATACATGATTTGTAAGGGTTAAAATATAAAAGGAAAGGGCCTAATACTACTAAATTTTTATTTAGCTAAAAATAAAACTTTGATAAAAAATCTAGAAAACAAATTTAATACTGGGTTGGGTGAGCATGGTGGATTATAAATAATAACTCGAAAGACAATCTATAAGAGTTCAAATATAAAAGGAAAAAACCTCTAAGAAAAAGTCCAAATCTAAAAGTATTATTAATATCTAAAAGGGGTTCCTTATAGAGAATTCCAAAAGTATAATAGAAATAGTGAGGCTAAGGATATAATTTTGAAGGAATTTTCTAATAGTGCTTCAAAACTAACTTAAGGTTGAAACTAGGGGTTAATGGCCTTAAGTGGGACTAAGCATAAGTGCTAAAGAGACCTTCTGAGAAAGTGCTCAAAGGTAATTCCCACTCCTAAAAGGGAAATCAACTACAATGCACCTAACTTATATGAAATCATGCCCTACTTCAATACTATATAATTTCTTAGTTCTCACTCTTTCTTAAGAGTTTTGGCCTTCTCTTTGGGATGGAGGTGGGAAAGTAAAGTTATTTACACTAAGCTATTAGGCCATAGTATTTTCCTTTAGGGTCCTAAATTGAGAGATGCACCTAAGACTTTAAAGGGTTTCATAATCAAATTTTATTATACCAAAGAATGTTAAAAATTTGGACGTTTAATGTGTTTGGCTATTTGTCCCTACAAGGAACATAAGTAAACCTTAAATCTAATGTAACCTGGGGAAGGGGATTGGGAAAAAATTTAGGAATTTATGGATGGATAGCTAACACCCTATTATTTATATAGTGAATAGCTAAATCCAAGTAGGTTTAAATAAGAGATAATACAATAGGTATACAAGATTTCTAGTATCCTTATCTACTATCTAGCAAAACAATGGGGAAAGAAGACCTTGACTCTAGCATGACTTTGTAAAATGACTCAAAAAGTGATCTATATGGGTGGCCTATAAACAAGAGTACACCTCCTTTTTAAATTAGTTAAAGATTTTGGGATATTTCAAGTTAAATGTATTTAGGTTTGATAATATTGGGCCCAATACTACTCAAATTTAATACATGATCCATAAAGTTCATAACATTCAAATTTAAAAGGAAAGGGCCATGAACAAAAGTCTAATCTAAAAATTTTGTCAGTATTTGAAAACGTTAGTCAATGTGATACTACTAAAGTTTTATTTAGCTAAAAATAAAACTTAGATAAAAAAAATCAAGAAAAAAATTTTTAGTACTAGATTGGGTGAGTGGTGGATTGTAAGCAACCAAAGAGAATAACTTACAAAACAATTTATAAGAGATCAAATATATAAAGAAAAAACCCATAAATAAAATTCTAAATTTATATGTCTTAATAGTATTTGAAAAAGTTGTTCAACATGATACTACTAAAGTTTTAATTAGCTAAAATAATTGATAAAAAAATCAAAAAAAAAATTTAGCTTAAAACTTATGTACTTCATGTATTATGTAAAATAATTCATTTAAAATTATAGATTGATGTAGGTAATAAGTTAATTATAACTTTATTAATTTCTCCAAATTTTTATACTCATAAATATATCTAAGATTTTTATTTATATTAATTTTTTTCTTTATTGGCTTAACTCAATGAGTCAAAAAGTTTCAGTATTAATATTGTTATTAACTTCAATCCATCTTTAAATTATATAGATAAAATTATTTGAGGTTGTAAAAATGCAATATCTGCAATACAAATATACTTTCTAATCTGACTTTCAATAATTGTTCAACCAAAAAGAATTTTAAAAACTATTCAATCATAGTAACTTTAAGCTTATTCTAAATTAAAGTCCCAAATCAAACCAACTATTGGAAATTAAAATCCCAAATAAATCCTTTAGCAATATAATATTAAAATCCTAAATAAAACCTTGAGAAAATACAATATTAATAATCTCAAATGAAATCTCTTTATATCTTTAAAAGTTTTAACAGCAGACTTCCAGATTGCTCTTACAATACAATATACCTTTAAAATCCTAGAGTTTATAAATTATTACTATAAAGCTGATTGATGCATAAGCTATCTTAAAGTGGAAATTTTATATTATTTTATATTTTTCCCTTGAGTTAACGATCAGTGTAGGAGATGAGAAACAAACCAGAAAATAGTAGGAAATTTAGAATTAAACTTGACTACAAATTAGAGAAAGTTCGTGAAGATATTCTAGAATACACTTAGAGACTCTAGGTATATTCCTAATCTTTAATTAAGTTTATGTTGCTGTGACGAGCCTGGCAAGGTTCTGCGTATTCTCCATCAACACCTGGAACAGAGAGCTCGTTAGATGAGAGGAGGAAAGAAAATCGTGTTACCTCACGCATGTACCGCGCTGCAGCTTTCGCTCCCTCCGCCGCAAGTTGGAAGACGTTCTCAAAGTGTTCCAGAGGCATCTTAGAATCCATTTGCAGTAACGAGACTTTGTCCACCTTGGGGAACAATGCCACAGTCACGTCCGGGCCACCACCACTGTCCTCGACGTAATTCAGATCTAAACCAAGAGTAACTAGCAAAGCCACAAAGAAGAGAGAAGCTTGTTACCCAGTAAAGGCGTTCCATTGAGGTAACCGGCAGCGCAGGATGCAACGAGATCCCGCATTGGAATGCCTGCTTCCGCTAAAGCCAGTGCTGCTGCATTGATACATGCTGATCGTGTGCCTTCAAAACAAGAAAAGCAAATTATTTGGAAACGATCTCCAGAGATTTAGACATCCTTACCTCCATCGGCCTGGAGAACTTGAACATAGATATCGATCTAGTAGAACAGTGGTGAGAAAACTTAAACATCAGTGCAGCCACGTACCTGTGATTTGGGCATTAGATTCGTAAGAATTGCCGCTTCTAGAGTCTGCCGGATGACAAGTGATATCTCTGTGGAGCGCCTATCCAAGAAAAAAGAAAAACGAGTCTTGCGGGATTTATCTCGAGTGGAAAACATACCTGTTTCCTTTGCCTTTCCTTCGGCGATCGCCAGTGCTGAATGCGGCCATGCTATATTCGCATCGTACCTATAGTTTTCCTTTCTCGTTTAGAAAAAGAAGAAACGAACAACAAAACGAAGAGCAAAAGATCTTACAAGAGCCCGATCCCAAAGCTGCTGTGAGCGATTATGGACCTAATAGAAAATCCATTCGCTTGCATCGATTCCGCAGAGAAGGAGAGAAAGATTACCTCGTGAGGACCATAAACAGCGGCAATCACCTTCGTGTTCCCCATCTCAAACATTGCCGATCTGCGTGTAATCGCCAGAGTCAAGAACACCAGAAACTCCAGCTCACCCATTCGCATTCTCCACAACGCCGAGCTCCGCGTGGAGCTGCCGCATCTGCGATCCATCACATCAATCAACGCTTGCAGCGAATGGCGCCGCCGCCGTCCCTACCTCCAGCGGCCGCCGCCCATCGAGGCGCAAGCCTTCCGGCCCCACGAACTCCATGGCGAATTTTAGGGCATACGCTTAAAACACGTCACACGTAAGCCCTAATATGAAATTAATGGTATCAACACGTGGCGCCCGCCCAAGAGTGGGCCCGTAGCACGCCTCGTGGACCAATGAGAAGAGCCCACATTGTATAGGAGAGTACACACAGGTGTCCGCTTGTGGGGCATGGAGGGGCTGCCCGCCTGCCCGAGAGGGCTGCCCAGCCCTGCCCGGGGGTGAGAGAAGAGAGCGAGGGCGTCGAGGCGCGAAAGAAAAAGGGCAGAGGACTCATGAGTGACGCGCGTTCCTGGTGCCAATGGCGGACGAGGAAGGCAAGCAGCGCCTAAATCTCTTGTGCTGCGGCCTCTGGTGTGGATTCATGTGGTGGGAGGAGCGGCGCGTGACCTGATCGTCATAGGGATCGCCTCTATCCTCGCTACGGTACGTTCACTCCTAGATTCACGGTCCTAGGGGAGGAATTCTCGCATTCATCGGCCAGATCGGGCAGGGCAGGGGCTTGCGTTGCTCTAGATTATGGATTCTTTGGACACGGCGGGGACGACGACGACGACGCCTCCCCGCTCGCTCAAGATCCGTGGCTCTCCAGGGGCTGTAGCACGCCGTAGACGCGCCGAGATCAGGAGGTTCCGGGTGGTCGCCACCAAGACGAACTTGGTGTTCCCAGAGCCTGTGCACAAGAGGCCTCGATCATCCTCTCCGAACGGCCGCTCCTCTTTGCCATCCAAGAGGTCTTCTCCGGCGGCGGCCACGACCAACTTTACCATCACGGTGTCTTGCCACCAGGGCATGGACAAGCATGAGCTTTCCAACGGGTGGCAAGGAAACGGTGGCGATGCTGGTGGTGGCGAGCACAGCTTCTCCGGATCGATCAGCGCTCCTAGCTTTAGTTTTGGTAGTGATAGCAGTAATAGTAGTGGGACGGGAGTTTCCACGGTCACGACCGCTGGTGCCGGCGGAAGAACTTCAAACTCGACCCCAGAGAATAGCGAGGAAGAGACGGTCGATGGTTCTTCCAAGGATTTGCCAGCGGCAATGCAGCTCCTGGACGGGATGGCTGTTTCGGGCACTGCTTGCAACAGGAGCACCCGCTGCATCGCCAGCGATACGTGTCCCCCGCATGGAGCCGTATTCATATGTGGCAGGCGCCGGGAGATGGAGGATGCCGTCGCGGTAGTGCCCTCTTTTATGACGGTGCCGTGCGGTACTGTTGGAGGCTGCGAGTGTAAAGGTGCCACGCTGCCTTCCGCGGACGTTGGCATGTCCGCGTTACACTTCTTCGGAGTCTATGACGGCCATGGCGGACCTCAGGTAACCAACTATTTGCTTTGACTATACTGTTCCTCGTTGTTTCCTCGTTGTTTAATACCTTGCTTCTTTCAGGTTGCTGGCTTCTGCAAGGAGCAAATGCATCGCGTCCTCGAGGAAGAGTTTAGTGGCGTTTTGCCAGGCATGGGTGACAGAGAGCTGGAGGCACATCTTCAGAGAGCAATGGTGGCGAGCTTTCTGAAAGTGGATGCGCAGGTGGGAGGCTTCCTCGAGGGCAATTTGAGTCCGTCAGCTTCTCCATTCATAGCTCCCGAGACAGTCGGCTCGACTGCTGTGGTAGCCGTACTGGGACCAAACCGGATCATCGTCGCCAACTGTGGTGACTCGAGGGCCGTCCTTTCGAGAGGGGGGCGAGCCATTCCTCTCTCCGTGGACCACAAAGTGAGTTCTTCTTCTTCTTCTTCTTCTTCCTTTGATTTTGTTCTGATTTTGTATGCGCTTGTTTTGTTTTGCAGCCAGATCGAGAGGACGAGCTGGCCCGAGTTGAGGCTGCCGGAGGGAGGGTGTTTTTTTGGAACGGTTATAGAGTCTTAGGAGTTCTGGCAATGTCGAGAGCAATTGGTACGTTATGCAGCAGCCTTTGTGTGTTTTTTCTCGTTGTCTCGGAGTTACTTGACACATTATATTAATCTTGTTTTCATCACAGGTGATAGATACCTCAAGCCGTTTATAATCCCAGAGCCGGACGTTACTTGTACAGAGAGAAGTTCGGAGGACGAGTGCCTGATATTGGCCAGCGACGGCCTGTGGGACGTGCTCACCAACGAGATGGCGTGTGACATTGCACGGAAGTGTCTCGTTAGGCATCGAGCTCGGCAGGGCGGCGAGAGTGCCGCAGACATGGCTGCTGGATTACTGACCAAGGTCGCGATTGCCAAAGGCAGCACTGACAACATCAGTGTGGTGGTGGTGGATCTAAGCTCATCCATGCGAAGGTGACGGAGAGAACTTTGGTGTATTGAGAAATTTTTTTCTCTTTTCTTCCCTCGCTCGCTCGCTCTCTCTACATCTTCCTTTTTCCTTTCTCAAATTTCCTCCTCGCAGCTATCTGTGTTCTTCTTGCCATGCAAAAAGACAAAAAAATTGTTATACACTAGAGGAAGTCTATTGAAGTTTTTGAGGGATAAGAAAAGGACTGCTCTAGAATCAACATGGCAAGAATCAACATGGCAAAAACTATGAGGGTTCAACATGGCATCGATCGATCGATTCAGCAACTAGACTACGATCGATCGATGCCATATCGAAGTTTGAAGCTTTTGTCGGGATTTGAACAAATATCAAAGTGTCGGGATTTGTGTTTGTTAAACTTTTGTAAATATCACAAGTCTTTTGGATTGCATCATCCTCAAACTATATAAAGTCGAGGGGTGTTGTCGCCTGGATGTGTGGTTCCATTCAAGAGCTTACACATAGCGCGCACAAAGAAGAAGAAAAGAAAAAAAGAGGGAAGCTTAGCATCTTTCACGTGGAGCACTATCTCCAGACAAAATCTTTGGCTTCATATCACACTACCACGGTCATGGCTGCTCTGTCATTTGCAATATAAAAATCAATAACACTGTGCAGCGATTCATTTTACGGGGATGGCATACAAATTTAGCCATTGTTCACAGTTCTTTTTCTATAAAAGGTAATAATAATTTAGATTCAACTTCTGGAAGCTGCGGATTGGCATTTACAACTTTTAGTTTTGTGGAGTGGTCATTGAGAATTTTGTAACCACGAACACACTTTTTCGTTGGCAAAATTTTGTTGGATATATGGAAAGTAAAAGTAACCATTCGAGAATCTTATCTCTAAAGCTAATATTTATTCGACCAAATGCAACTTATCTCATTCGCTTTATGGAATGGAATCAAAACCCACACCCCCCTGTCAAGTTGCATAGTTGCTGCCCTCGAGGTCCAGGTATTCCGACGAGAAAGCTGATGTTACGCAGCAAAGGTGCGAATATAAACCGTAGCGAATGTTTGTGCGTCTCACTCTCTCTCTCTCTCTCTCCCCCTTTGATTGATCGATCGCATCAAATCGAGCAACAGTTGAAAAACAAAAATAGAAAGGTAAAAAAACGAATAAAACTTTCCATGCTAAATCAAGAACACCAAGGTCGTGCCATGGAACATATTTGGTAGGACTAGCCATCACTGCACCAGTGTCTCGCTACCACTTGAACACGATTCCAAAGTTGCCTATGGAAGTTTTACTTTTTCATCTCTAGCGCGTGGAGAAAGATTGCAACTAAGAGTACCATGTCCCAGGGTTGCTTGTAGCCCGCCTCTCTTCTCTCGTCTCGAGGTCTCCTTGCTTGCCTTGACCAACCTGCTAACAGTGTTAGGTCTTTCTCTTCGCCAAGAAAACCACGCTGATTGGACGAGGCAATGTACTAAGGCTTGCTGTAAAACTTCCAGCGAGACACGCATACTATATACAATATTATAAATTAATTTTTAGTCTAAATTTAATTGTAATTGTAATTTTAATAATTTTAATATTAGGAAAAGTATTGTGGTGAATCCAATCCAAGCCATTCTCTCGCTATACTATGCAGATTAGCAATACCAATAATTTTGCAAGGTAGAGATCCAGACCATGTCATCGGATTAGAAGGTAGTCACACCATCGCTGTGTGTGCTTGTCTTGTTGTCTGCGATCTCTAAGTACTTTTTGCGTGATTGCATAGGAATACTTAAGCTATTTGATAGAATCGCTACGATCGGATACTCCGGGCTCGACGTACGCCTCCGGGAGGGCGACACTTCCGTACGAGTTGAATGTCACAGATCATGCTCGGAGCACTCAGCCTTTGGCGAGCTCGATTTGCTCACACCCCAAGTGTGGACCAAGATCCAGCCAAGTGGCATCTGTGGTGCTCAAAGTCGGTGATTAAACAACGCGTCGCGAGGGGCGCGAGGGGCATTTTTTTAACACGCTTCACTAACCTAAACCGTAAAATATATGAAGATGGGTGATGCTTAAACAAATGCCCAATAGATCTTTGGAGAGCGTTCTTGGCTTCTTGTCGAGTTTGTAGCAGGAATCCTGTGCCGAAACTGGTCAACACCCATAGCTTTAAATACCAAAAGAAGGAGAGGGAAGAAGACAATAGTTGCATTTTCCTCTCTCCCCCGTTTTGGAATTCTCAGTGAGAATTGAAGAAAATTGTAAAAAAGGTCACTCAGATCCACGGAAGGGAAGTGAGGAGATGGCTTGCTTCTAATCCAGTTCATCTCCATCCAAATTTTCATGGCCTGGAGCACGTTGACTGGCTGCTATGCTGCCACTTTGGGGTATACCCATTCAGGGCATATGTCTTAAAAGGGGCCGGCTCTCCTCGGCTAGAAAACACGCCCATGATATTTTGGCAATTTGTCGCGAGCAGGAGAAGCCTCTGGCGAACTCGAAAGCAACAAAACAAAGATAAAAACACCGGGGGAAATATATAATAAAAGTATATATATTCTTCGTTTTCATTTTAATGTACACAAGCAAAAAAACCAAGGAAAAAAAGCTCGAGGGAAAGAGAGAGGGGACCGGGGGCCGATTCAAATGGCTATATGCACAAGAGCGGCTCTCCACTTGTCCCCCCACGAAAAACTTCGCAAACCTTTCCTCTCTCGACGATGGACGCTGCATTCTCTCATCCATCAGTCGCTCTGGCTGGCCAGTTCCTCCTCGGACACGAAGGTGCCG